TACACACCAGAGAGACATAATACCTTGTCGTTGTTACTACACACGAGAGAGACATAATACCTTGTCGTTATTACTACACACGAGAGAGACACAACACCGTGTCGTTGTTACTACACATGAGAGAGACATAACACCGTGTCGTTGTTACTACACACGAGAGAGACATAACACCTTGTCGTTGTTACTACACACGAGAGAGACATAATACCGTGTCGTTGTTACTACACACGAGAGAGACATAACACCTTGTCGTTGTTACTACACACGAGAGAGACATAACACCTTGTCGTTGTTACTACACACGAGAGAGACATAACACCTTGTCGTTGTTACTACACACGAGAGAGACATAACACCTTGTCGTTGTTACTACACACGAGAGAGACATAATACCGTGTCGTTGTTACTACACGCGAGAGAGACATTACACCTTGTCGTTGTTACTACACACGAGAGAGACATAATACCTTGTCGTTGTTACTACACACGAGAGAGACATAATACCGTGTCGTTGTTACTACACACGAGAGAGACATAATACCTTGTCGTTGTTACTACACACGAGAGAGACATAACACCTTGTCGTTGTTACTACACATGAGAGAGACATAATACCTTGTCGTTGTTACTACACACGAGAGAGACATGATACCTTGTCGGTGTTACTACACACGAGAGAGACATGATACCTTGTCGTTGTTACTACACACGAGAGAGACATAATACCCCGTTGCCACGTCCCTTCAATAACTTTCTGTGTAGGATCAAGCATTTGTTAGAGGGAACTGGAATAGCATTTCGAAACAAATTACTTTTTAAAATAATTGTTCAACTATAGTAGTGACGTATGGGGAAGACGTTTGGTAATGTATCAAAGCGTCTGTGTGTTCGTCAGTGATATCCTGCTTGTTGGGTTCGACTCCAGGCCTAATTTGATGTGTTTATCCCAATTTGTGTCGATGTCTTGAGATTGCAAAACAGTATCGGGACCATATACTCGTAGTCCATCAAAATACCGATCAATTTTCACATTCCTACTTTAGAAATACAATCAAAAGATGTTTCTAATTTCTAAATTTATTTTGTTGAATACAATAATTCAGGTATTGACTTAGCTCCCAGCGAAAAGGACGTAAACTGTGTTGTCTGTGTCGTGGATGTTTCAACTGTGTTGTCTGTGTCGTGGATGTTTCAACTGTGTTGTCTGTGTCGTGGATGGTTCAACTCATCATGTGTGTCAGTGTGGTCTTGTGAAAGTAATTTAACCGCTTTACTTGAATTTGCACTACAAAGACGTATTTCATTATCTGTCAAAATGCAACTTTATAATAATTAAATGTTACATGGCAATGCAAATGTATCTTGTATTGGAAATGACATATTTTGAATTCCCTATCAAGTTTTTGTTTACACGCAAGTCATTGCTGTAAGTTAAAGGAGAGCTTCCCAAAGTTGGATAACATGTTCACAATCCTTTTCAGAATGGAATAAAAGACGTTTTAAATCAAACCTATCCTGTCTTGGAATTACCGACCATCTCGAGTGCTAGTACATGACTGTCACCTGGCCCAGAATACAATGATATACTTGAGCTAACCACCTCAATAAAATGGCGTAAAATGCACTCATGAAAGTAATGTATCTAATGTTAAAAGTGAAGGACTATTACAGTTGAGTTCAAGATGTGTAAGAATATAGCAGTAAAGCTTTGATGTTTCCCCGACCAGTCCCTGTTCGCACTTAATATCTATAACTGTTACATCCGTGACGTAAGTTCTCATTGTCATCTTCGTCAAACACGTCCAGTCATATCTAGCACTGAGCAGGTGGCAAGTACTCGCCATTTCGTATTTCTGAGTTTCGGGGCACGCACCTGTCAATCGTCCACTCATTCACAAGTGATAATTGCTCGTGCGTCCCGATTATGGCTCAATATACCTTACTATACCCCACAAAGGCTACCGAGTATAGACAATTCAGCTTTCATTAAAGATAAAAACAATAAAATGTCACTCCTCAAAGGCACCCATGCCATCGTATCGTTTTGTGTAAGTGGACAATCTGTCTTTCGGAATATACTCAGTCTGTTGTATATTACAATGTCGGCTCAATAGATACTACCTCCCTAACAAGGTATCCCATTGTCTTTTACAAATAGATCTATAGTGAGTTATATACACACTTTGATATATTTATGGCCTGTTTGGTAGGTCCTAGCGGAGACAACGAGCACTATGATATACAATATCTGGCTCAATTACCTCAATTTCACTGGCAGCGAGAATGAATGGTACTGATAGCGTGCATCATATTTCCCATATGACAAGTTATAGTTTAGATAAGCTTGTTGAATCAATCTCAGACGTGAATTGGCATGCTCGATTTCTCCAGTTGATGACATCATTAACGCTCGGATAATATCGTAAAAAGCCGTGTATCTCCGGTAGTAATGTTTTCATCGGAAACAACCGAAATATTCAATTAGCGACAGGTGCAAAAAGTAAAAAGGGGATACAATACTGTTGAGTGGCGCATTAAGTATTAATAGCATAGGAGAATACAATCTCATCAAGCATTTAAGTTTGAATAGATCTAGGGGTTCCCCTGCACCTTCAGTGACATGGGTGTTACCAGAATGACGCTCTACCTAATTAGAATTTGTTAAGATTGATTTGCCTTTAAAAGTCGGCAAAATAAGAACAGGAAAATGATTCATCTGCCAATTTGATCCCATTAAAAATGCATAACAGCTATATAGTCCGTAACGACAATTTCCATTTTTGAGAGGATCTGTTTAAAATGTTATTGTGTACAACCAAGACAGCGTCTCAGAATTTAAACGACTATAATTTTCAATATTTTGACACCTTGCATTAATAAACAGGAATAGTTTTTCTAATCAGTGAGTTTAGTTCATTAGCGAAGGGTTCAACGTATCCATGAAACTGAAAAACAAGATTGGAAAGGAGAAACATGTTGGTCTGTTGCCAGAATCTACGTGGACAGGGAACTTGATGTGAACAGGAACTTAACGTGAACAGGGACCTTAACGTGAACATGTTCACTCAAAAAAATAGGTTATATAAAATTATATTTCCAGATTTAAATAAAACGTATGGCGGCACTGTCTCCCTTGGACATCAAATGCGTGCTCAATGGTTTATCTGTTCGAGTGCAGCGAGGGACTAAATTGCCTCACCAATGCACACAATGTGTGTTTCCGCCTTATCCCTCGTCACTCCAGACAGACGAGTAGTTCTGTCCACACAAAATGCACTGCGTTGCTGTAATTCTGATTTTAAAGATTTTTCACCCAATTTGCTTTTCACGCTGTGACGCGCTGTAGCGTATAGGCACACTCTGTTTGTTTAGACAGATAAATGGGCGTTTGGTTTTAGTTTTAGTGTACTTCCATCAACTGACTGGGGATCTTTTAGGGTCAGTGATAATTTAATCATGTATGGCAAAACTAACGAACAATAAGCCTGTCATTTTATCAAGCGTATACGACTAATCTGAACTCTCACATTTAGATGAATCATAGCATCGCGTAATAATGAGGTATGTGGAGAACAAAGCATGAATAAGACGTATAAAGACATAGTAATACAGACCAGAATAACACCGACAGGCAAAACAAAGATATTAATCACCATGATGAAAATAGATACGACAAAATTACTCACTATGAAAGTAATTATTAGAACATCTCTCATTTCCTGGCCTTCCTGAATTTCAGAATAGGACGGCAGCAAGGAAATATTTTGTTTCCTATCTTTTTTGTTGTGAATGTGCATGTCATTAACTATTGCCTTATGAAAACCCTTGTCATTCTCGAGGCAGTGAGTCGTCACAGGGCCCAGATTGTTATCCATAACAGCACAAGTATATGATATATCCCTAAAATCAAAACGAACATTTCGTTCTACTTATTTGCTGCTGAGGTTCTATAACCCTAAACCCTTCCTCCATGCATAACTTTCCACAACAACATTAATGTGTATATAAACATCAACGTGAAGACCTTCCCTACGTTCCACAAGCTACACTTTCTTTTTTTTAACCATAAACATATGTGCTTAGGGTCCTTTACTCTTCTTAACATCTTCCAATATTTCATTAAATGTCTGTAGTTACATGATTAATTCGGAATTATTTCACCTAAATTAATTCAAAACAGAAAGCTTTGTATGATTGGAAGTGCTGTTTGGGAGATCAGATAATGTCAACATATTTCTCTTTCACAAAGACCTATGGTTCAGGCTTGGTACGACACATATCAAGAGATTATAATTCAGGAATCCACATTAAGGTCACACTACCTGGGACAATGCTACAACAGCTCACACAAATTATGTCCCAGAAGATATAAGGAGTAATTTCTCAAGCCACCAAGCGTTGAGGCGGGTGTATACAGGCTGCATTAATATTTCAGCACATTTCGCACGTGCATGTTTTCAAGCCAAATTTGAATTCAGCTTGGTCAATAGAAGGTTTGTGGAGCATAACCAAAGCCTTAATGTACGTGTGCTGCTTCATTGCCATCCCTGCAGTGACTAATTGACTTGGAAATAATGACTATGTCATCATATTAACGCCATCTAATTAACAAAGAGATCAATGACATCTATAACAGGCCGAGAAAAAACTTCCCCGTAATTTTCGCAACAACATATTCGTAAATGATACTTTCTCCTCCAATTATGGGCCGTTAATAGGGACGTGTGTTGATCCTCATGGCAACCAGCAGCTATGTATGTCACCCCAACCAATTATCCAATTAAGGTGATTAGCACCAGCACATGTGACAAAGGCGCGTCGATAAACTAATCAATTCGCCAAACCATCTAATCTACTATTGATAATAAGTTCTACACCTGAACCCGGTAATCATCTTCTAATTATTATTGTAATTATTTATTACCTGGGACAACGCTCTGCTGCCTTCTATTGTGTATGGCATATGACAAATTGCCCATGACTGCGCCGAGCTCCACAGACTAAGCTTTGATGTAGCGAAGCCAACACTACACAGTGTGTGGAGCTCACCCTTATATCCACCCAATGGGAACTCGGGAACGACTTCTGTCTTATCTCAAGCAAATAAAATCAAGGATTAACTTTGGGTGATCGGCCGTGATAGCCGTTGTCACAATCGACAGGAAGACGGCGTATCCGTGTTGTAGCAGACGACTCGGAGCAGACGATACTTGTCATCAGACGACACCAGCAGTCGATTACACATCTCGGCTTTACATTTAGATGAAGTAGGCTTAAAGAGTGCAGTTACTGCAGGTTTACTAACTAGTCGGGGATTCTTGTGAAAAAACTGGTGTTTTACTGGATGCATTACTTCTTGTGTCGTTGAAGTGGCAACATTGCAGGAACTTCCATAGGATCTAGTCTGTAGCGGCTCCGGAGACGAAGACGGGGTTGCAATTGGAACTAATCTTGTTATTGGTGAAGACTTTCGAGATTGAAAGAGCTACAGTAAGTTCAGTTGGAACATTATTTAGTTTTCGAGACGGGGCAAGAGTTGGATGTCAACTCACCATTCTTTGACGCCAGTTGTCTTATTTCAAGAATGGACCCATGTTACAATCACGGCTCGGTTAGTTTGATTTAACCTGATTTATACTGAGTGGAAGCGGTGCCTTACGAGAGACTAGCACGCGATGGATCTGTCCATGTCTAGAAGAAGCGTAATTTCTGAAGGAAAACCGCCCTTCAAGCATTCAATTGACAATATCCTGAAGCGGCAGGAAGAGGAGAACCTCTGTTCGCCAGAAGATAAGGCAGACGAGAGAGACAGCGACCCTGAGGTCGACCCCGGTGTGTCAGGCACGGAACTAGCAGGTGAATAATGCACTCCATTGTAAACACGAGAGGGTAGAATGGGAATAGGTTGTGGCAGGAGTGGGGTAGGGGTGTAAGTAGGGGGATACTAATGGTAGGGGTAGGTTGTAGACAGTGCAGGGGTGGGGATGGAGGGTGGATGTAGACGGTGCAGTGTTGGGGTGAGGGCGGTAGTAGACGGTGCAGGTTGGTGGTGGTGGATGGTTGTAGTCGGTGCTTGGGTGGGGGATGGTTGTAGGGGTGGATGGGTGTGGTTATTGGGGGTGGTTGCAGACGGTGGCGAGTTAGGAGTGGTTGTAGACAGCGCGGGGGTGGTTGCAGACGGTGCAGGGTTCGGGGAGGTTGTAGACAGTGCGGGGGGGTGGGGGTGGGGGGGGGTTGGTTGTAGACAGTGCGGGGGTGGGTGGGGGTGGTTGTAGACGGTACAGGGGGTGGGGTGGGAAGGTTGTAGAGGGTGTAGAGGCGGTATCGGGAATGGTTGTATTTGTTATGGGTGTGGGGGAGGCTGTGGATGTACAGGGGTAGGGGAAGGTTGTAGATGGTGTAAACATATGTGTTTATCATAACTACATGTGTAATATCCTTAATACCAGAATGCATTTGAAGGATCCCGTCACAGGTTTAACAGCTGGCACAGGGTGTGGCAATGTGTTTGTGAAGTGTGATGCCCACGTCCTTCCTACACCAGGCTGGGTGGTACACATACACTGGTGGGAAGGTGTTAACCCTGTCAGCCTCCCGTGTGGGCTTCAAGGCAAATGTCTACACAGTTCGTGGGGTGTCTTCCGAATAAGGAATAGACTCTATAAATTGACGGACAAAAGAAAGTATACACTTGAAAATTGGATTTGACCAAAAACTTACAAATGATATCAAAACGTTACTAGGCTGAAAGCCATCGCCGAAACACTGCAAGCTTAAGGCCCAAAATACAACTATGACACCCGTATCAAATATATCTCCATAGACTAATTATTTCATGTTTGTTTTCTTCTAGCTACCATCACACATGGGTGTAGCCGTTGTTTTACCTGTCAGTGTATGGTCTTTAGGCCTTCTTGCGAAGTACTACATGTACAAATATATACCAAATGTATTTGTAGCAGTTTTGTGTGAAACTACTATTTGCGATGAAAAGAAATTCATAGATTATTTGGTTAGTGTATTCACATCCTATATTTAGCACGTATCTATACCAGAAACAGTTCTACTCACACTCATCTAAGAGTAAATCACTGATGGAGGCATTTGGATTCTTATCACATGTTGGACAATATCATGCATTGTTCAACACTGACCACGTAGTGGTGAATACCATGTAAAATGTATAATGTAATAATTTATATTTGTTTGTACAATGGCCCGCCGAGGGACTCTTTGATAAAGGTATAACAAATTAGCCAACACTCATATGAACGCTGATTTTTCTTTTCAAATTGGAAAATACTGAGACGTAAATTTGTATCTTAGCAGTTGACACACTTCACATCTTGCTTAAAAAGTGACTGTATATATAGATGTTTGATTTTTGAACCAGCTCTTTTATTCATCTCAATCTTTGGCCTTTGAAAATCCGTGCCACAGATGAGAACATCCAGTGATTAATGCTGGCAACTTTTCCGGGCGGTCCCCTACCTACTGTGTCCCCATAAGAAAATGCACATCACGTGCGCTCTGTAGATCAAAATATATAGTCTTAGTGCACATATTCACTGAAATTAGATCGAGTTATGTCGAGCTATGTGTACACGCATAAACATGAGAGGTAGTAGAATTGATTACAACACAAAATCAAAACCTGTCTTTTTTAATGACATAATTACTAAGTTTTCTAAAAGCAATGTGTCGATGGTCGAAATGTATAAAAAATATATATAAAATAATTCATTTTATATAAGTGGTCATCAAGTATTGCGTGTTTTATTAAAAAATAAAATGAAAGTCAAAGTGCCCTTCCAATATCGATTTACTGTGATGTTGTATTTTTCCATTATCGACATTAGTTCACAAGCACGACTCCAGAAAAAGCAGTTCTCAATATTGTATTCAATATTGTTTAAATGTTGGACAGGCGGATTAGAAAATACCGTAGAAACGTTTTACTGTCCTATACTAAGGTTTTATCAAATGTTGCTACGCGAGATACATAGATATATATGTATTGTCAATATATACCCTTGATAGTATGTCTCGCAGAGGATACCTTTTCTTGTTTGGTATTTCTTAGCAATACTGCAACAATATTTAAAGGCGGCGAGATACCGACACAGTAGAGATTTAGTGATGGTTTGTTTGTGAAATAGCACACAGGTCAGCTTCACCAGAATCCGTTCCAACAAACTGCACGCAAATGAAGATGATATTCTCGATTCCTTGATTTGGTGTGAAGATGTATACCCACATCTTTTCTTGTATGCTGGTGTGGCTTCTTTTAATTGTTTAAATAGTTAAATTATGTGTCATGATATTTCAAGTCACACATTTGGGAAGTAAAATTTAAAATTTAAATTAAAATTTTATTTGCCACCTAACACCCCCCCCCCCAAGTTTTCTTTTTCACTATGTACCAAAGAAAACAGCATGTTGAATTTTGTAAATTCGAGACCGGCCTAAGAGGGGTTTTCTGGACAAATGAGTTTCCAGAATTAAAATGGGGTATTTATTATATGGTTTCCTGATTGTTGTATTTAATCAATCGCTATATATACCCACAATTTATGAAACCAATATCTTAATACACAAACAAAAAGTACATACTGACTGTTTTCTTAGACCAATACCTTAATACCAATAAAATCATATACATACTGATTTTATTTATTAAACCAATACCTTATTACCCAAAATAAATGTATATACTTATTGTTTTATCAAACCAATAGCCTAATGCCCAAAATAGAATATATTTTTTTTGTCTTTTTGTATACTTCTTAAAACTGTTGTTCGAGGATGAATGAACAAGAGGAAGAGAAAGAAACTTGGAATATTTGCCGAGTCAAGGAATTACTTTCCTTCAGATATAACGATCTGTCTTATTTGGCACTGAAGGAACAACTCTTTATGTGATGCTGTGGGTCGTCGGATGCGTGATCTTTACTGAGCGACTTATGTTTTACATAGAAAGCAACGGCTCAATTTCTGTGTTAATTTCTCGTATCAGTAGTCACGCTATGGCGTTAAACAAATTAAACTGACATGAAATATAGCCATGAAAATAGTATCAGTTTGTTCTCAGAAGATGTGAACAAAAGTGGATTAAATAGAGGAGACATGCGTCTCCATATTGTAAGTAAACTTGTTAGGAAGTATTAGAGCATTTTATGTCAGATAAACTTGTATTTTTAGTTTAAATTAATCAATTAAAAACATATTTTGTTTTGTTCAGCGACATATGTCAATGGATTAAAACAGAAAGTTGGTTTGATCAACATATAGGAACCTGTTTATTCACATGACCACGAAACTCAACACGCCATGTGCCCTGTAAGCTAGCGAAACACTATCCCACGTAATTAATACCGCTCAACCCAATGATGGACTGATCATGCATATAGACACGGACACGTAGCTTCTTGCTACATACGGCTGAACACGTATATATTAGTATGCAGTAATTAAAATTTAGATCGTATAAGCCAAGTGTTTTCAAATTTCAAGTAAATATCACAAAAGTAATGTTTCAAATTAAATACACTTGTGGTTAATAAAACTATTTAATAATTTGGTAAAGCACTTTTCTTACTTTGACTGTATTTTATGTGCAGAGAAAGCCATATAACCATGACATTATCACCCAGCTGATTTGATCTCTCATACGGGCGTGTGTAGACCATGTGCACTAAAACGACAAAGCAATAGACATGTTTTTATCGAGATGAGTAATCCCGTCCCGACTGTATGGCCCCCATGACACTTGCACACATCGTCTTACAAGTACAGCACGGTCTTAAATATGGCTGATCTTAATTGTCATATATTATTCAACCGCAAATTGTTTCCCTCATTCAATAACAAGAGCAGCAGTTAATTTAATTTTCGTTCCCCTGAATGTCCTTATTAAGATTTGAAGAATTCCAATATTTCCTGTGTTTTTGTGTTGGGGGGTTGGTTTTTTCTGCTGACGAGCTGTGTGACTCAGGGGACATCAACGCACGCAGAAAAATGTCAAAATTTATTTTCTTTGAACCGTAATGAAGTTCCCCAAACTTGTGAAGTTAATAGATATGTGCATACAGGGCAAATAAAACATGTTTACCAAAGTGATTGAACTATTTATTTACAATGGGCATTAACAAATATAAATTGTCTTAAACGATATTTCTTCAGAAAGGGTCTGGACGCTGAATCCCTTTTCTGTAGAATATGAGCGGGGAGCTACAAGCTTGACTCGATGAGAGAAAGAACAATCTTTGGTTTAATCTCCCTGGTACTTCACGCGGTAGACTTTGACGGCAAATTTATTTGATTAACGTGGAATAATAGTCCACTTTTCATCTGACAGATTCACAGACTTACAATTTGTTATTGGACATTGTAAAGCCCCCAGAGCGACGTTGCGTTTAATCTGAGAGTCCAATATGTCCCCCGTGACTCACTGAAACAACTGACGTGTGCTTGCTTGTACAACGTTTCGGGATAAATCCTTGATTGTCAATGAAACCAAGATGCTGTTATTCATATCCTATGTTTAAGAAAGGGAAAATATGTCTATCGCATGTAGAGAATTGTTTGTTGTATATATCATTTGTAACGTGATATATATTTTCCTATACATGTCAGTGATAAATTTCTTACAGAAATGTAACTGATACACGTTACACGTCACTGATACACCTGATTGATACACGTCACTGATAAACGTCCGTCATTGATACACGCTACTGATGCATGTCACTGATACACGTCACTGATACAAGTTCGCCACTTACACAAGACACTGATGCACCTATATTGATACTCGTCACCGATTCACGTCCCTCATTGATTCACGTCACTGATAC